GCAATGGTTCTACCAAACAACTGCCTCTCACAACATGGGTCCCTTCTCCAGACCCCAGTACCAGCTCCCTCCCTGCACAACCCACTACTAAGCCGGCAGCTTAGATTTTGGGATTTTAGCCCAACAAATTCTCACTGCCTTTAATCATCTTTTTACAAGTCAAGGAGCTATACAGTTTTGTGGGTTGTTTTTTCTACTCTAACACAGTGAGTGTTCCTAGTTGACTCTTCACTCCTAGCTTGTGACTTCTTGGTCACCTCAGCTAGATCCTTAGTCAGTATTCAGGGAGCTAAAAGACCGAAAGCAGCTGAAGAGCTCATGAGATACTCAGGCATGGTGACACACATCTTTAGTCTCAGCGGAGGCAGGAGGAGTTCTGTGAGTTAGAGGCCAGCCTCGTTAACATTCTGAGTTTCTGGACAGCCAGAGCTAGCTACATAATAGAAAGATCCTGTCTTAAACAACAACAATAACGACAAAAGAGTTTATGGGGTAGCGTAGGCACTGGGCCAGGAAGGGATATTACATTAGCCAGAACTAGTCACAAGGCCCCATCCAGAGACTGGGAAATGCAGTCACATTGCATAGAATGTACTCTGAAAGGCAATTGCTTGGTGATGGTCTTACAGCACTGTCCATGTGTCCTTCTTAGTGTCTGCCCACCTGCCTACCTATCCCTACCGAACTTAGGGTTCTTGAGAAACGCAGAAGCAACAGGCTAAACTTATACATGAAAGAGACTTATGAAAGATTGGCTCATGCAGTCACCAAAGTGGAGATGACCCATGGTCTTTGGCCTGCCATCCGGAGAACAAGGAGTGCTGATATAGAGCTTTAAAACCTGAGAACCTATAGTATATTTCTTAGTCTAAATCCGAAGACGTAAGAACCAAGGGTGCTGGCATCTGAAGACGAGAGAGGAGAGCTTCCCAGGCCCTCTTTGTTCTATTCTGGTTCTCAGTGTATTGGAGAATACTCACTCATATTGGCCAGGGGGAATCATATGTATAGTCTCTGATGCAAATGTTTCTTCTAGAAACAGCCTCATGGACACACCTAGGAATAATGTTTAACAAGCTCTCTGGACATCTCTTAGCCTAGTCAGGTTGAAACAGAAAATTAACCATTGTATCCTCTTCCTTGTGACTATTCAATACTTCTGAGCACTGAGTACTTCAGACGCTGGGGGAAGTACTGACTATTGCACTACCCAGAGCCCACTGACTTCTGTGTCCATCTGCTGCCCAGACCTTGAGGCCCTTGCAGACAGAGACAGACCTTGTCTGTCTCTCTGCCTGTGACATCATGAATATAGAATAGGGGAGGGAGGGTGAGTAAACTAATGAGCTAGACACTCCCAGGGCTTCTAGTCTATGTTGATGGATCCAGACTCCAGTCTTTGTCTCGAGAAAGCAGGCAGAACTTGTGTGCTGCAGAATGCAGTGTGTGGAAGGAAGCAGCCTCCTGAGGCCAGGTGATGTGAGGTTCCTGCTAAAAATCCCTTCCCTGGGGGAAAATAAAGCAATGTCTACCTTTCCTCCCAAGGTCTCAATGGCAAACCCAGGCGGGGTTCCACCAGACATCTCTCTCTAAAGGACAAATGACTTTATTGGGCTCTGCTATTAAGCCCAGGTGAGGGGTTACTTTCAGGGGTGTAGTGCTCCTGCCACAACTGTCCACATCTGGAAAGCCTTACCCAACAAGGATAAGAGCTTCTTAGCCTTCCCCAGCCTCTATGCTTGAGCTGCTCCCTCAGGCCACACACAGAGTTGCTGGGTGGTAGGGAGCAGATGGACACCCAGGAGAGATTCTCTGTCTTCTATTGTGTAAACTGTCAATTGTTGGGGTGGGGGATGGGAGGCCCGGCTGACTTCCCCAAGATGGTAGTTGTTTGCCTCAGAGGACAGTCACTCATGACAGAGGTCCTAGAGCAGGGCCTTCGGATTCAATGAAAAGAAGGTTCAGGGGCCCCGCCCCCTCAGATGGGTTGGGAGGCAGAACTACTCACATTAATGCCTCTTATGTTTGTGCTGTGGCACAGGTCTTTAGTCATGAAGTCATTGTAAAGCTGGCTGAACACGTGTCGTGTGTTGGGTACCTTGTTGGGTCCAGAGGATCTCATACAACCAACACAGGCGCTAATCTAATGGACCTTGCAGCTAATTAGCTGACAGCTCTCTGTACATCATGAGAACATCACAGTCCCCTGTGCAAGAGTGCTTCTGCTCCTCCTCCCTCCTCTTCCTTGTCCTCCTCCTCCTCTACATTTACCCTGGGGACAAGAAAGCTTTGTGTAGATGAGCAGGTTCTTCTTAACCATTTTCCTTCCTGCGGCAAGGTGTAAATCCACTTCATTTCTCACCAAGTGTGATGTTAGCCTCCGTTGTCAATGTGCTGGGATTTGGGGTCACCTAGGAGACACACTTTTAAGGGTGTCTGTGAGAATGTTTCCAGTGAGGCTTAACTGAGGAGGGAAGGCCCATTATAAATGTGTGTGGCACCACACAATGGGCTAAGATGCCAGGCTTAATAAAAGGGGCAAAAGAGGAAGGCAGCTGGGTACCGTATTCCTTTCTCTGTTTCCTGCCTTTAGACACAGCATGGCCAGCTAGCCATGTGTCCCTGCCACACCACCGCTGTGTCTTCTAGAATCACCATACCTTCCCTGCAATGGTGTACTGCACCTCTAAACTGAACCCAAATCAACCCTCCAGGAAGTTGATTTTATAAGACATCTTGTCACAGTGTTAAAAGTAAATAATATTCCAAGTTTGTCTAAACGGTAAAGAAGAGGTAGTCCTGAGGGAGGTAGAGGGAAGAAGAGGAAGAAGAAGGAGGAGGAGGAGGAGGAGGAGGAGGAGGAGAAGGAGGAGGAGGAGAAGGAGGAGGAGGAGAAGAAGAAGAAGGAGGAGGAGGAGGAGGAGGAGGAGGAGGAGGAGGAGGAGGAGGAGGGGAGGAGGAGGGGGAGGGGGAGTTGCCCAAGTTGCAACTCACAGGCCACATGAAGCTCATAAAGAAGGAAGACCAAGTGGGGGCGATTCATTCGGTCCTTCTTAGAAGGAGCAACATAATACTCAAGGGAGCAAATATGGAGACAAAGTGAGGGACAGAAACTGAAGGAGGGGCCATCTGAAGACCTTTCCACCTGAGTATCTATCCCATGTGCAGTCACCAAAGGTAGATGCTGATGTGGAAGTCAGGAAGTGCATGCTGATAAGAGCCTGATATGGATGTCTCCTCAGAGGCCTTCAAGAGTCTGACATATTCAGAGGCAGATGCTCACAACTAGCCATTGAACTGATCATGGGGTTCTCAATGGAGGTGTTAGAGTGAAGACTGAAGGAGCTGAAAGGATTTGCGGCACCATGAGGAAAGCAACAATACCAACCAACCACAGCTACCAGGGTCTAAACCACCAGCCTGGGAGCACTTAGGGAGGGATTCAGGGCTTCAGCTGAATATGTAAGAGTGGAGGGCCCTGCTGGGCATAGGTGGAAGATGAGATCCTTGACCTCATGAAGGCTGGACGCCCCAGGGGGTGGGAATTTTGAGGGTGGGGAAGTGGGAGTGGGGGGGTAGGTAGAGGTTACATCCACAGAGAAGAAGGAGGAGGGGTAAGGGGATAGGGGGGTTCCTGCGTGGGTGGGGGATGGGGTAAGGGGACAACATATGAAATGTAAATAAAACATTCAATAAAAAAATTAAAAAAAAGAAAAGGAAGAAGAAGAAGAAGAAGAAGAAGAAGAAGAAGAAGAAAGAGGAAGGGGGGAGGGGAGGGGGAGGGAAGGGGGAGGGGAGGAGAGGGAGGAAAGGGAGAAGGAGAAGGAGAAGGAGAAGAAGAAAAGCAAAACCCAGAACAAGAATAAAGGGACAACAAAATGCACCTGGGAACATCAGGCCTGTTCTCTCTTCAGCTCTGTAGCACACCATGTCCTGGTAGAGCTGCATCTGTCTCTGTACAGAACTGGCTGGAGACACAGCTGGCCTCAGAAATGCACCCAGGTGGTCCTGACAGGCACGCAGAGTCCTAAAGAGACAATCACGGCCCTTTCCAGACTCCCCAGATAATGGATCCCAGGAAACTGGGATTTCTCCAGGAGTCTCATCTGGAAGAAGGAAAAGCCAAAGCACGGGTGCCAGCCAGCCAGGGAAGAAATGTCACATAGTTTTGGCAAATTGCCAGACCACCTTGCACAAGAGGCTGGAGCCAATGACCACTCAGCGCTGGGATGGACCCGCCCTTCCTGGGACTGCTTAGTTACATACACCTCTTGCCCTCTGTTTAAACCTCAGCTTCATACTGGGACCCCAAAGATGGGCTGGGGGTCATCTTTGCCTTTTCTCTTCCCATGTGGCCACATGAAATCACCTTTCTCTGCTTGCCCTTGTTTATTTGTCTATTTAATTGGCTGATTGAGGTTAAGTAGCCCCGGCTACTTTGTTAGGGCTGCCAGGGCCAAAGCTCTGACCCTGTCAACTCCAGAAACAACAACAGGAGGCTGCTGAGTACTCCGGGTGGGAACGGGTTGCCCTGGGGGTGAATTTCCAAAGCCTTTCTGCCCCCCCCCATCTACACTTCCACATATGAGATGATACATTTCTATACCCCAAGTATGTGCCTGGCAGTTCCATAGGAAACCCCTTCAGAGATGAATTCTGCCCTATGGTTTTCTAAAAACAGGCCAAGGTGCCACCAGAGTCATTGTGTTAGATGCATGGACACTAAACTTAAAGAAGGGTCCCATGGTGCCCTGCTTGGATCTTTCTAGAAACTTTTGCAGCTTAGGTAGTAGTAACACATTCCAGGTATTTACCAGAAAGACTTGAGGACACACCACAGCTCTAAGGGACCTGGTATCTCCTGTCTGGTTTTAACAGCTGTAGTGGGAGAAAGCATTTTTCTTTTTTATAAAAACATTTTTATGTGTGTGAATGTCTTGCCAGAATGCACATCTATGTATTTGTGTGCCTAGTGCCCTCACAGACATTCGATCCCTTGGAACTGGAGATACAGATAGTTGTGAGCCACCATGTGGTTGTTGGAAATCAAACGGACCTCTGGAAGGGTAGCCAGTGCTTCTAACCACTGAGCCGTCTCTCCTGCTTTCATCAGGCAGATAGCTTCGTGCTTTGGGTATCCCTAAGGGGAAGAGGGGCTCTCCACAGCGTTCCTGCTGTGATCACATGGGACAGGCGTGCGCCAGGGACTGGAGTTGTCTCGGTCTTCTGCTTCTTCTGTGGCACACATGTCCTGGCTGGAGGGTTAAACCTGCAGAGACATGGGAAATGCTTTATAAGAAGACAAGATCCTGTGTGGAGGGGGTGTCTCTGAAGGATCCCCATTGGGGACTACTGACTGACCAGTGGGGTTGACCCCCACCCTGGGAGTGTGTGAGCTCTGGGCAGGCTTCATTCTTTTAGCTCATGGCTCTTTTTTTCTAGGCATTGTCTTCATGCTGCCCTACTCCTCAGCCTCACCTTCAGTGCTCCCTCTCCCTCCCCCTTCTGCTGCCCCTCCCTCTCCCGCTCTCTCTCCCTCCCCCTCTTTCCCCCTCCCCCTCTCTCCCCTTCCCCCGGCTCTCCCTCTTGCGCTCTCTCTCTCTCTCTCTCTCTCTCTCTCTCTCTCCCTCTCTCAGTTTTTCTAAGCCTTTTATTTAAATGTAATCCTGACTGTCCTAGAACTTACTCTGTAGACCAGGTTGGCCTCAAACTCAGAGGTCAGCCTGCCTCTGCCTCTTGAGTGCTGGGATTAAAGGTGTGGGCCAGTGGTTGCCCTTTTTGAAGGGACACCTCACTCCTCTGCACATACAGGGAAGACTGCCTAGCTCTATCTTAGCAGAGCGAGAAAAGATTCCTATGAAGATGGCATGAGCTTTAAAAAAGAAACAAACAAACAAACAAACAAACAAACAAATAAAACCTGTGCACTATGCAGCAACTCCCGCCCACCACGTTCTCCAAAACCACACATCTGGATTTTAATGAGCAAACTCATCAGATAAAGATCTAGTTAAAGTACAGATTTAAAAGGCAACACCCAGATGCCGATGTGCCAGGCTGCAGAGCACACACTGAGGAACAAGCCAAAGGGACACCTAAGCCGGTGGCTGGGAACCCTAAGGGTAGTGGTTCTCAACCTGCCTATGCTGCAACCCTTTAAAACACTTCCTCATGTTACTCACGTTGTGACGACCCCACAACCACAGAATTATTTTTGTTGCTACTTCGTAACTGTGATTTTGCTATTGTTATGTGTCGTAATGTAAATATCTGATATGCAGGATATGCAACCCCTGTGAAAGAGTCATTCGAACCCCAAAGGGATCTCAGCCTGCAGGTTGAGAACCGTTGCTATAGGGCTTCCCTCCAAAGACATGGATGCACAGAGCCCTTCCTCGATCTTAGCCAGATCAGCCAAAGGGGCCCCGGGTCCCATGCTTCTGCTCTCTGCTTCCCCTACATAACAATGGAGTCATTGGAAAGAGAGGCAAGCGTGATGGTTAGAATAGAGACTACTCATTAGTTAACCTTCCAAACTGACTTAAGTTTCACCGTTTCCTACATATCCTCTTGCAAACCTGGGTGTTTCTTTCCTGCTTAGAGAGGTCTTGTGATGCTGCTCCATGCCCAGGTGGTAGATTGACGTGGACTCTGAGGGCAAATCTCCTCTAGCCTCCTTCTCTTAATGACTGCCAACCATTAGTGTCTTAGCTAGGGTTACTATTACAGTGTTAAAACACCATGACCAGAAGCAACTCAGGGAGGAAAAGGTTTATTTCATCTTAGGACTTGTTGTCCATCATCCAGAAAAGTCAGGCAGGAACCCGAAGGCAGGAACTGACGCAGAGGCTGGGAGCACTATTACTGCTTGCTCCCCATGGCTTCTTCATCCTGCATTTTTATAAACTCGGAACTACCAATGCAAGGGCAGGACTGTCCATCATGGGTTGGGACCCCCATAACATCAACCCCAAGAAAGTTATGCAGAGGCTTGCCCACAGACCAATCTTTTGAAAGCATTTTCTCAGTTAAGACCCCTTCTTCCCAAGTGATACTAGCTTGTGTCAAGATTGCATTAAGAAGTAGCCAGCACAGGCAGGTGCTTGTACAGGAAAGACTTTAAGTTATAAGTAACAAAAAACAAATGTGCAAACAAACTAAGTTCCATGACGAAGTGCCTGTCTGACATTGGTCTAGCTCTGGATTAGATCCCAGCACAAGACAGACAGACAGACAAATAGACTGACATGGCTTAAATACCTCCCTCCCTCCCTCTTTTAAAAGATCACTTTTAAATTTTTAGCTTGGTTACTTTTTTTTTGTTTTGTTTTATTTCCAGTGCTGGGGACCAAACCCAGGGTCCTTGTGTTACTAGGTGAATGCTCTACCACTGAGCAAATCTCATCTGTGGCCTCTATGTTCTGAGAAAACTTACTTATTAACAAACTAAAATGTCTAGAGAGGGGCCTGGGCTGATAACTACCTTAGAGAGCCTGGACCGGGGAAGGAGCACAGAAAAGAGGAGTGACTGCTGACGTAGCCAAAGGCACACTGACAGTCTGCTCATCTGTTGATGACAGAGACCTCTAGACATCCTAAGGCAGGAAAGGCATGATGGCCAGGGGCATGAAGCCGGATGCAGCCCAGGTGCTGTGCACCAACCCACAGCCTCAGCCCTCTTATTGCCTCTCGACATTGCTCAACATTGTCCCGAGCCAGTCCTGCTCCATTCTGCACGTTCTGCTTCCTCTGCCTAGAATACCTTCTTTCTCTCCCTCCTTCCTGCAATGTTCCCTCACCTTTTAAGGCCTTGCTAATATCTTCCTTGATCCTCCAGGGAGTGCCAGAGGCTTGATCTGCTGCTGCCAATCTTCTGTATCATCTGCCTCTTAGGCTGAACCTGTATCATCCTGGAGTTGATCAACTATCTGGCTCTCTCACCACAATAAGTAAACAATAATACATATGTGTGTGTGTGCATACATACATACATACATACATACATGGCTGTGCAGTGGAGATGGAAGGCATTGCATGCAATGGGGACATGCATAGGAGAGTTTAACAGCGTCTCCCCACATCCACATTGCTTTCTGGTCCAAGGCCTCAGTGTCATCTCTCCCTCACCTCCATAAGGCACTACGTCTGCAGCTCAGCAATCGGGCTACAAAAGGAAGTGGAAATAGAACGGAAAGTAAGAACTGCATTGCCTTGGTCCTAATTAGACACACAAATCAAATCCCTGCATCGAGAGTGCAGGAGTATGAAAAACAGTCGAGGTGGGAGGCGGTGTTTGTTGTTACTCTTCTTCACTGCCATGTTAGGAAAATCCCTGAGAGTTTTGCTCAGCCCAACTTCTAGCCATCATTCTTTGTCCCGCCCCCATTTCCAGCCTCACTGTGCACTAGTCATTGTTCTGACCCGAATATCTGGCTTGACTGAATGTGAAAGAGTTAGGGACACATGGAGACTGAGAGCTGTGGGAGCAAGAGAAAAAGAGATGAAAGTAGGGATGCAAGCGGGTATGCAGTGAGACATCGCAAGCTAGCAAACAGTGAGCCATCACAAGCTAACATACAGTGAGACATCTCAAGCTAGCACACAGTGAGCCATCTCAAGCTAGTACACAAGGAGGAGTCATTATTGAGACAGAGAAGCTCAAGAGGGAAGCTGGGAGCCAGTGCTTTTTTACTGTGTTGGCGCTCACATGTCAAAGAGTACCAGGGACACAGTTCTAGTTGAATAGATATTTGTTGCAGCAAAGGAGACCGTACCCCATGGGGAATTTTAGGGTGCTGCCTCTGCCCTCATTAACTATAAACCAAATTTCACCTACAGTATGTTCCTAGTGGTCTGTGGCTCATGAAATTATCAATAACTGAGATGTCAATGATTGTGCCCTGGGATGATTTGGCTATTTTAAAAAGGCTGTCGGATTACATTTGAAAAGGTGAAAGATATGCCCTTTTTCCCCAATAATATACTATAGTATAGTAGGAGAAGTTTTAAGTTAAAAGGATAAAGATTCAGCACACAATGCTAACAAGAACAAAAACAGTGAACAAGATCAAATTATATTGTGCATGTGCACACACACACATGCATGTGTGTACACATTACTCTAGAGGCGGTAGGACCTGGGAGAGTGGAGTCAATAAACCAGGCAGACTGAGTCTCATGCAATAACCATTTTTTTTTCCTCAGACTCCCAGACAGTTTACACTCTGAGGGTTGAGAAAGCTCACATGAGTAAAGTTCTCCTGAGTTCAAGCTGTATACAATCACAAGGACCAGCTACATGTGGCAAAAACATGTTTTTCCACGGAAGCATATACAGGAGAGTTCAAACATTTAGTTGACTATCAGCGGCAAGCAGGAATGAGTAACCGGAAGTAAACTCACTCCTATCCGCTACACCTGCGAGGAGCACGAAAACACAGTCCAAGGACAGTTCTGTATTTTTGAAGAAACTGAACTCACAAGATTCTTGTTTTCTTGGAGTTTTCTCACAAACACTCAGAATTCTCACATGACTCCATTCTTGGACTGTGTTCTGACGTGTGTGTTTGTGTGTGTGTGTGTGTGTCCTGCATTCACAGGCACACACCCACACACTGGTGTACATGCATGTGTATATGTGTATATGTGTGCATGTGTGTACATATGTGAGTGTGTGTGTGTGTATGTGTGTGTGTGTGTGTGTGTGTGTATGACCTCTGACTTTGGTAAGCACCTGCATTCACATGCACATACCCACACACTGGTGTACATGCATATGCATAATTAAAAATAACCAGCATTTTTAAAATGTGCGTGAGATGGTGAAATAGTGAATGGAAAGTTAGGAATAAATAGAGAAAAGCAGGTCCATGAATTAAAGAAAAAGTTAAGATGGACAGTTACAGACCACATAGTGACATGGAATGGGGTCTAATAACAAGCATAATAAAGTGTTTAATAAGGTATGTAACAAACAGATTATACTCCTCAGTAACAAGAACACATGGTGATGATAAGCCTTTACACCTGAACATGTTTCATCCTCTGTGAGATGAAGGTCACAGGTGTGCATCACAACTGCATGCCTTTTAGTACAGAAAGGTGACTTCAGGGGCACTCGTCACCTTCCCTCAAATGTCTGTAAGGACCTAGGGGGCCAGGCAGTTTACCATGAGAGGTAATGGTTCAGAAACTTCAAAGGCAAAGTTGAGGGAAACCAAGATAAAGCTGGGACATTTTACTTAAAAGAAAATGAGGGCTGGAGAAGAAGAGCACTGACTGCTCTTCCAGAGGTCTTGAGTTCAATTCCCAGCAACCACATGGTGGCTCGAAATCATCTGTAATAGGATCCAATGCCCTCTTCTGGTGTATTTGAAGACAGCAATGGTGTACTCATATAAATAAAATAAATGTTTTTAAGAGAGAAAGAGAGAGAG